ATTTTAGGTCCTGAATCGTTGCCGAGTCCAACGATACTAACATGCTGGGTTTCGTGTTACGGTTGGTGTAGCGTAGCGATTTAGCGCGAAAAAAACACTTGGCGATATCTTCAAAACCGCTGTTCCGATCGAGACGAAACCCACCGCCAGAAACACGGAATCATAGCTTGTTAACTATATGCAAATGCCCAAATGCGAAAATATTGATAGTAAGGGGTAGTAAAATTCAAACAAAGTCATGTGTCAGTCATTTTTTACGTGTTTTTTCATAATAAATGTTTATAACTCGAAGTGAATTGAGATATTTGCACCAAAATTGACACACATATGTATGGGGTCACTCTGAGGACACATAAAAAAAATTGTGGACTGAGCCTCTTGGTGGCGCTATAATAGAACAAACGTGAAATTCCCATTGACTTCAATAGAGTTTTGTGAAATAAAATGCTATACTAAACAAATGCATTGGTGTAATATTACAAAACTCAGTGTGTGCCATAAGCAGCATGCCCTGAAGGTACTCAAAAGATTTGAGACAGCGCCAACTGTTGTCAAAAGTTATAATTAATTTCTGAGAACGCTAATAACTTTTGAATAAATTTACCTATTGCAATGAAACTGATCTTAATAGATTCCTTGGATTATGCCGAAAAACATAGATATCAGGTTTTCCATAATCAGACAAACGTCCTGTTTCGCCATCTTTATTTCTTTGAAAAACCTTCTTTTTCGAAACTCCTCCTAGACCGTTTGTCCGATTTTCACGAAAATTGAATCGTATCATCTCCAGACCGTGTCGACTAAAAGTTATGAATTGCACGATGATAGACAAAACCGTTTTCGTATACCACAGCATCAAAATTTAGGCATGCTGCCAAAATGACTATTTAGGCTTTATCTCTGCTATGCCTTCACATTTTGACACCAAACTTTGCATGTGTCATTGTCACCTCACTCTGACCACATCACATCTATTTCGTAACTGCGCCACCTATTGTTCGAAAGTGATAACCCATTAAATCATCTTATAAGTTAATGTTTATGTGATTTTCTTAGCCATTTGCCCAAAGTTCTCTCAAAATGCCCTTAATTGCTCCTTGCTGCAGTTGGTCTGCCACTCCTTGCCATTTTGGCATATGTTGCCGCTTCTTGCGCTTGGCCCCGGTAATGGCTGCTTGCAGCTATATTTATGTTTTTGAATTTCTAAAGAAAATGGACGTAATTTGAAAATTGAGACGTTGTTTTATATCAATAGTAACAAAGGACAAAGATTATTGCCATTTATTTATTTATTTATTCATTGCCGCAATATGTCCCATTCATTCAAATGAAACAGGATGACTAATCAATTCTTGAGATTTAAGAAGCGATATCGGTTCGTAAAAATGAGAATCGATTAATATCGAGAAATCGATATTTATTACCCAGCCTTACTGTTTATTCCAAGGGGGTAATCCATCAGCCGGAAGTTGAAGCTGCCTCCGGGGGCCGCCATTGTAGCGGGCTATCACCTGCTGTTAGCATCCCATTGACTCCCATTCATTTTGGCGTCACTTTGACAGCGAATAACTTTACATCTGAGGCGTCCAAAGACTCCATTTATCCATTATTTATTTCTAAAGAAACACATTTATAAAAGGCGCCATTACTTTGTATGTTACGTAGAAGCCATTCTTGTAAAAATAGGCTAAAAATTGCGTCATAACCACTCGACTGTCCGTCGCACTGTGAGAAGTTACCGTATATGCAGGAGGAGAAGCACGCACAGCCTCGCAGGCAATCTTTTACTGTTTAAAGTCACCCCATGGCATAGATAGAAGCAAAATGACAAAATAATTAATCAGAATACTTACCAAAAGTTGCTCCAGGTCGCGCTTCGCCGTCTCTGTGCACGATTAAAATGTGTCTTGGCACAGCTACTAAAAGATTTACAACTGTCAGTCAGTTTGCTCACGTGACATCTACGTCGTCAAGCTCAGTTTGAGCCTGCGCAGAACGCTTGGCTATCAGGAAGTGAGTGCCCATGTTGAGCTTCAACTCTCTCCGTTGAAATCAACGGGGTCGCTGTGTCCGTTTCTTTTACCGTCTATGGTTTATTCCTATTCTCCGGCTTCAACGTGCTTTCCAATCTCCACACGCACCTGTAACACATAGAAGGCCAGAAACTTTGAATGCCGACTCATTTTGCAAATATTTAAACGTGTCAATCTTTAGACTCTGTGTAAACTATTTAACAAATAATTTAATATCTATTATCAGTGATTGCCTTGGATCACACACAAGGTTTTGTTTAGTTTTCCCTGTGCACACCTTTTATCAGTTCCCTTGTATAGTGACAGACAACACATCTCTGTTGTTTTTAGATTATCATATTTAATCTAAAATGGTGTATGCCGGCAGCCAAAAGCCGCTGAGAGGCTAAACTGCAGGAAATAATCTGTTCAAATGCGTTTAAAATCCACCAACGTTTGGTGTGACGATAGCCTATAATATAGGTTAGAAAACACTTAAACTTAACCTCTCTCTACCATTTAGGGATACACCAAAATGAAAATTATTGGCCAAAGTCAAACCCAATAGGATGAAACACTTTTTGCCATTTTTTTTTTCACCATTGCATGAATTAAATAATCAAAATGTGCCTTTTACTTTTTTGTCTTGCTTTTTTATGAAGAAGAAAAATCAATTACAAATCTGCAATTTAAAATTAATTATTTAACACTGAACTTTTAATCTTTTCTCTTTTTTTACATTCCGGCAGACATTATACCAACAAAGCAAAAATGAGTAAAATAAAAATATTTGTATTTGGCCGTCTTCGAGCCCCCTTCTTGAATAGCTTATTCTGCTGCTGAAAGAATGTAACTCTGTAGATCTACAAAAATAAATCAACTTTTGATTTTGAGGCATTCAGGAATGGTACATTGCACTCTCATAAACGTTTCACTGACGTTTCATTTTTCCCCTATCAATTTCTCCATTTTAGTTTGAGTTTTAAAACTTACAGGTTATTTTTTATAGTATAACGACCTCTTAACTGTCAAAATATCAAGGAAAATTTGAATTCTCTGTTCATGACCCCATTAAAGCTACATTATGTATGTTTCTCTGCCGCTAGGGGTCGCTAACCTCTTACAATAACAAAGGTGTAGGTTTATGACGCAGTGAATAAGCGTAATGATGGAACTTGTCATGCCGATGGATCTAATGTGTATGGAAAATGTATTTCTACATTTTTCAAACTCATGGTTGAAGGGGTTATTTAAAAAAAAATTCTCCCGGAGGTGCAATTCCCCAAACCGCACACCGCTGGCAACAACCTCTGGCACCTAACAGCACCGTTGCTGAAAAAATTTCTAGGGGAAACACTGAGCTTTCACTTAATTTGTTATAGACATTGGTACTCTGAAAAAATCAAATGCTGCCCAAAGAAGCTCATGTGGCACTGAACCATATGCATCTAGGAATGTCACATGGAGCTCCTTCCGCTCCTTTTTAGCTGACTGAATTCGTTGACCTCTACATCCCTCCTGCTGCTGAGACCTAACCACAATCTCTCCGCAACCCAACCATACGCCCCACTGGTGTGTTAATGCAGTTTCAGTGGCAATGGTACCGTATGGCATACCACCTACCACAAAACACAATGGCCCTCATTTATCAAAAGTGCGTACACCAAATTTCCAACGTACACCCAAAATCACTTGTGGCATTGTAAGCCAAACATTTGCCTTTTTTCCCAGTAAAAGCACTTGATTTTATCTCGCTTTTTGACACCGTTCGTCTTCGATTCTTTTGAAGTGCATCAAATATTTATTGTGGGAAATATACAGTATAACTAATATTTAAAAATACTTAAAAAAAAAAATGAACATTTACATTTCTTCAAGCGTAGTGTACTGAAATCATGACGAGACAAAGTGAAAGCAACTGCCATGTGATTGGTTGATTAGATAATTGCATTAATGAGAAATTGAACAGGTAATCCTTTAGGTGAGTGTATCTCACTTGTACATTTAAAAAAAATATATATAAAAATTTCCACGTACAAAGTTTGTAGTCAGGGATGTATGCATCGCAGTGTTAGCAAACTTCAGGTTTGGAGGGCATGCTTCCCCCCCCCAAGGATAAGAACTAGCTATAAAATCACGTCTGTGTGCAGTAGATTATTTGTGAATACCCGATCTCTTCTCATCTCCAGCAGTCTTTCTTTTTTCTCCCAGTCTCTTTATCTTGCCGTAAACTTTGACTGATAGGAGGCTATTTTCATCTTTGTAGATATCATTTTTGTCTGTGCCAGTGTAGAAAGCAAACATAGTGCTGTGGCGACCTCTGCTGTTGGTTTTGGGAATTGCAGTTTGGTACCTGAGCTCACTAACTGCCTCATTTGGCAGTCAATTGGAAAAACCCCTGACCGTGCCTGAAAAAATCACCAACTGAGCGACCAGCGAGATTTCTGGCTCTCACAACCTGTAACTTCTTCTTTGAGAAGCTCTTTTGTCCTCCACTTGTTACCTGTATGTATTATTGGCACCTGTTTGAACCCGTTATCTGTATAAAAGACACCTGTCCACATAGGGCTCGACATTAAGGCTTATCCGCTTGTCCGGGACAATTTTAATTTTTATCCAGACATCATTGGCTTATTGATCATTATAGGTGTTATCAATCATTTAGTTGTTATTGCTAATTTCAGAATTATCACTACTCTGTGAGCGCATTTGGTTAAGAACCAAACAAGTTGACTCATGAAACCATTTGTTTATTATATCGCAATCGCATATCACAACCGCAATATTGACCTCAATAATCGCAATATGACATTTTCCCCACATTGTGCAGCCCTAGATAAACTTATAACTCTTAACCCGGACAAGTGACTTTTCTGCATGCACAAGTGAAACATAAATTTACTTGTCCAAAGGACAATGTAAACAAATGAAATTGGTTTCATTTGCCTCAAAACAAATGACTGACTACAGCCACAGCTTCAGCATGTATTTTTTATTTAACAGACATACATACAAACATAGTGCAGTAGTTGTAATTCCATAATTCCAAAAGTGTTGATCTATGAGTGTATGTGTGCATGCGTAAACAAAGTAACCATTTATTATTTATTACCATCACCACTTTCACTCCCCACTACCATCATATCCCCAATATTGTATTAGTCGATTTTTATTTCCATCCTTCCTCCTATGTAATAATTTAAGTCTAAAATAAAAGATGGTATAATAAGATAATATAAGATAACCTTCCCCCACATCTCTTCATTCCCTATCTTCTCCTAAATTATTATTAAAAAAAATTTCAGCATTTTTTTTTAAGCTTCAGCATCTATTAATAATGTAGGGGGCGGAGCTTCAGATTCTAGAGCATTTGATTGGACAGGAAATCTGATGAAAAGCTGAAGTGCAGAATGATGTCATCAAAATCATTGATACTTTTTGGCAGATGTGATAAGTTCCGAATATGTAAATTTTGTCATTTTTTTGGAGCTTACTAGCTTATAGACAACAGTAATGCTAACATATTCATACTAAAAGCCCTTTGCCTTTTGATTTCATGGGGACTTTAATAAATACGTTTGAAAATGCAGTATTATTTGTCTTCGTAACGATTATTAGGGGATGCTGAAATGGTTTGATCAATCATTGGTTTCCAGCACTGAAAAGTTCAAACTCTCCTCAGCCAATGAGATGTGAAGATCTTCATTTGCGGGCGATGTCATAATTGGCCACAAACCAATCGCACGTCTCCTTCATAGCTGGAAAAAATAAAAGCACTTTTAATGACTGACTACTATTGAGGAACATTTAGTTAATGCTGAAGCGAGAAGTGAAGATTGATCACCTGCTTTGAACGGTGTGAACTTGAAGTCTGGCAGGTATTTGCGTAGTTTGGCGTTACTGGCGGTCTTCTTGAATTGACCGTCTGCTTTACTTGTGTCATACTGAGAGCGGATAGTTAAAGGATTAGTTCACTTTTGAAAAAACTTTTGCTGATAATTTACTCACCCCCATGTCATCCAAGATGTCCATGTCTTTCTTTCCTCAGTCGAAAAGAAATTTAGGTTTTTGATGAAAACATTCCAGGATTTTCTCCAAATAATGGACTTCAATGGGGACCAAACGGTTCAAGGTCTAAAAGACTTTAAACGACACCAGACGATGAATAAGGGTCTTATCATGCGAAACGATCGATTATTTCAAAACTTATTCCAAAAATGTAACTTTTATAAGGACAAATGCTAGCCTTTCTCCATTCTGTGAGGCGCGTTTGCAACGTCACGTAATACGTAATTACGTTCAAAAGGTCACGGGCGACGTAGCCGAAAGTACAGAGTCAGTGTTTACAAGTTGAACGCATAGGTTGAACGTGAAAACTAACTCAAACACCGTTTACAAAAAAAGGAATTAAAAGGAAAAACAACGATGTCGGACGATTTTGATTCTGTACTTCCGGCTACGTCGCCCGTGACCTTTTGAACGTAATTACGTATTACGTGACGTTACAAACGCGCCTCAGACTGATCTCATGAAGTAGCGTGTGTATGACACGCCAATTCGTATTTCCATTTTTGGCGTGCTATCAAGACACATAATCGCCTTTCAGCGTGTTTATGAACGCCGTTGACTTAACGTTATATAAATATATGACTTACCTCAACCCCGTCCCTAAACCCAACCGTCACTGGGGTTAATGGCATTTATGACTACGTCGCCCGTGACCTTTTGAACGTAATTACGAAGTTAATTATGAAGTCCATCATATGGAGAAAAACCCTGGAATGTTTTCATCAAAAAACTTAATTTCTTTTCGACTGAAGAAAGAAAGACATGGACATCTTGGATGACATTGGGGTGAGTAAATTATCAGCAAAAGTTTTTTCAAAAGTGAACTACTCCTTTAAGGGTTGTGGATAAAAGGTAGTTCATGCCAAAAGGACAAAAAACAATTGTCCCCAAAAACAAGCCTTGCCCAAAAAACAATTATCCACCAGGGTTCCACTCCAGCCCGATGTTCACGGCGGCCCGAGATAGCATGGCCGTCATCTCGGGATCAGACACGGGCAACGCTGGCGCTCCCGAGGGAGGCAACGCAGCCGCATCCTCACTTCCCGAGGAATCAAGCCCACCTTGTGATGCTGCGATCGACATCGCATCATCCTCTGGAGCACCGAACGAAACAGACGGTACCTGCGAAGAGGCAGACGCCTGAAGCGTTTCAGTGCTCGCTGGCTCCAACACTGGTGCGGTGGGTGTGGCCCGAGGAACAAGCGTCGGGGGTTTGTTCCTCACTGTCACCGTCAGATCACCCTGTCCGCGAGCCGAAGAGGAAGCAGAACGGGTAGAGGACACGGGGACTCACTGTAAGATCATTGAGTCTATATCTAAGTGTTGCGATGGTCATGTTCCCACAGAAGGAACTCATCCATGAACACTGCTGCTGCATGCTGAATGCCCAGCGATCGTGCCCATCAGAGGACGACAGGAATCGACCGCACCCAGAAGAACACGGGTGAACCATCTTTAAAATGACGTGCTCTTTCAATAGAGAGGAGGAAATTCACTCTTTCAGCGCTGAGGCGACCAGGGAGAAGCGCAAAGTCTGGCAGACCACTGCTCAGATCGCAGGCGATGCAGAATCTCGCTGGGTACCGCCGTCACACAAACACTGAAGAGGACGCTCGTCTCGAAGAGTTGTACTCAGTGAAAATGGCCTGTGGAGTGAAGAAATCTCTTGGCTCCGAAGCGAAAACATACTGCGGTTGCGTCCGCTTCCTCCTTTTATACCCATGAGGTGGGGCGGAGATACGCTATGCAAATTCCGCAGACCCAAGGCATTTTCTCATGCCATTGGCTCGTTTTTAAATACTCTAAGAGAATTGGCTTTCTATGCGAAACCCCCATTCTCCGTCATTCCGACGTAACTCGAAAGGGAACTAAAGATTTTCTCCATGAGCATTGAGAAGAGTAATTGTTTGTGAAAGGATACAATCACGTCACCTTTGAAACCCATCGCTTCAACCACAGCGTTCGCAGCATCCTTTATGGACAACTCATCCTCCTCTCCGACTAGAAAGAAATAAAAAAGACAAAGATAAACAAATCAGTTTATTTCTTTCCTTCATGTGACATTCTGTGTTAATTCCCTTCATGTTTAATCAGTTCACATTTATTCACATTTTTGACGTTTAATAATCACATTATGCCGTATCACAATAACTGTTTTCCATCCCCAAAATAAAGATATCTAAAAATGATAATTAATAGTTTAGTTATGCTGTTTTAAATTAAACTTTGGTTTATCTTCAGAACATTAATGAGGATGTTTTTTTGACCCTCATTGGTTCTTGCTGAAGCTCAAACATGATGCGTAACGAGAATGACCCTCTTTGGTTCTTGCTAAAGCTCAAACATGATGCGTAACGAGAATGACCCTCATTGGTTCTTGCTGAAGCTCAAACATGATGCGTAACGAGAATGACCCTCATTGGTTCTTGCTAAAGCTCAAACATGAGGCGTAACACGAGAATGACCCTCATTGGTTCTTGCTGAAGCTCAAACATGATGCGTAACGAGAATGACCCTCATTGGTTCTTGCTAAAGCTCAAACATGATGCGTAAGGAGAATGACCCTTATTGGTTCTTGCTGAAGCTCAAACATGATGCGTAACGAGAATGACACTTATTGGTTCTTGCTGAAGCTCAAACATGATGCGTAACGAGAATGACCCTCATTGGTTCTTGCTGAAGCTCAAACGTGATGCATAACGAGAATGACCCTCATTGGTTCTTGCTAAAGCTCAAACATGATGCGTAACGAGAATGACCCTCATTGGTTCTTCCTGAAGCTCAAACATGATGCGTAACGAGAATGACCCTCATTGGTTCTTGCTGAAGCTCAAACATGATGCGTAACGAGAATGACCCTCATTGGTTCTTGCTAAAGCTCAAACATGATGCGTAACGAGAATGACCCTCATTGGTTCTTGCTGAAGCTCAAACATGATGCGTAACGAGAATGACCCTCATTGGTTCTTGCTAAAGCTCAAACATGATGCCTAACGAGAATGACCCTCATTGGTTCTTGCTGAAGCTCAAACATGATGCGTAACGAGAATGACCCTCATTGGTTCTTGCTGAAGCTCAAAAATGATGCGTAACGAGAATGACCCTCATTGGTTCTTGCTGAAGCTCAAACATGATGCGTGACGAGAATGACCCTCATTGGTTCTTGCTGAAGCTCAAACATGATGCGTAACAAGAGAATGACCCTCATTGGTTCTTGCTAAACCTCAAACATGATGCGTAACGAGAATGACCCTCATTGGTTCTTGCTGAAGCTCAAACATGATGCGTAACGAGAATGACCCTCATTGGTTCTTGCTGAAGCTCAAACGTGAAGCGTAACGAGAATGACTCTCATTGGTTCTTGCTGAAGCTCAAACATGATGCGTGACGAGAATGACCCTCATTGGTTCTTGCTAAAGCTCAAACATGATGCGTAACGAGAATGACCCTCATTGGTTCTTGCTGAAGCTCAAACGTGATGCGTAACGAGAATGAACCTCATTGGTTCTTGCTGAAGCTCAAACGTGGTGCGTAACGAGAATGAACCTCATTGGTTCTTGCTGAAGCTCAAACGTGATGCGTAACACGAGAATGAACCTCATTGGTTCTTGCTAAAGCTCAAACATGATGCGTAACGAGAATGAACCTCATTGGTTCTTGCTGAAGCTCAAACGTGATGCGTAACGAGAATGACCCTCATTGGTTCTTGCTGAAGCTCAAACGTGATGCGTAACGAGAATGACCCTCATTGGTTCTTGCTGAAGCTCAAACGTGATGCGTAACGAGAATGACCCTCATTGGTTCTTGCTGAAGCTCAAAAATGATGCGTAACGAGAATGACCCTCATTGGTTCTTGCTGAAGCTCAAACATGATGCGTGACGAGAATGACCCTCATTGGTTCTTGCTGAAGCTCAAACATGATGCGTAACAAGAGAATGACCCTCATTGGTTCTTGCTGAAGCTCAAACGTGATGCGTAACGAGAATGACCCTCATTGGTTCTTGCTGAAGCTCAAACATGATGCGTAACGAGAATGACCCTCATTGGTTCTTGCTGAAGCTCAAACATGATGCGTAACGAGAATGACCCTCATTGGTTCTTGCTGAAGCTCAAACATGATGCGTAACGAGAATGACCCTCATTGGTTCTTGCTAAAGCTCAAACATGATGCGTAACGAGAATGACCCTCATTGGTTCTTGCTGAAGCTCAAACATGATGCGTAACGAGAATGACCCTCATTGGTTCTTGCTGAAGCTCAAACATGATGCGTAACGAGAATGACCCTCATTGGTTCTTGCTGAAGCTCAAACATGATGCGTAACGAGAATGACCCTCATTGGTTCTTGCTGAAGCTCAAACATGATGCGTAACGAGAATGACCCTCATTGGTTCTTGCTGAAGCTCAAACATGATGCGTAACGAGAATGACCCTCATTGGTTCTTGCTAAAGCTCAAACATGATGCGTAACGAGAATGACCCTCATTGGTTCTTGCTGAAGCTCAAACATGATGCGTAACACGAGAACATGAGGCTTGAGCTTCCATTGATGGATGTTTATATGTGAACAAAAGCCTAAATTCAATCTGTTCATCATATCAAGCGATCGTTTCTCTTCAGTAAATTTTGGAGTCAACCACTCAATTCATACGGATTAGTTTTACGATCTTTTGCAGCGTCAAAGTGGTAGTTGCGTAGCTGTCAATAGAGGGACATCAAAAATATCTTTATTTATGTTCCGAAAACGAACTTAAGTCTTAAGGGTTTGGAACGACATAAGGGTGAGTAAATAATAGAAGAATTTTCATTCATGAGTGAACTAACTCACTAAATTTGACACGGGTCGAGTACCTGACAGAATGATGGGCTCCACCTCGTTATACTCCCTCAAAACCCACAGAAACAGACGAGCCAGATCCAGAGAGTAGATGAACTGCCGTAGAGGACGACCTGAACCCCAGACCTGCAGAGGTTGACCTTCCTCTACAAAACACACAAAACACATTGGACACAGAAGTATTGCATGGCTTTGATTGAAATGTAACATCCATGCAAAATAATCCTTCACTCTTAGAAAAAAGGGTTCATTGGGGTTCTCATTTTAGGGTCTTGATATGTCAATAATGTGAAATATTTATTTCGGAAAGTTAAAACTTCTTTTTAACTGCTATAACGTTAACTGTTGTGAGTTAAAATAATCACCTAATTATTTCAACCTAAAAATGACCTCTGCACTGGACTAAATATATGTATAATTTGACTTCCGAGTCACTTTCACCCCAAAATGGCGGATGCGTAGGGCTGTTGCAATGGAACGTTCTGTTGGCTTTCACTTCTTGTCAATACGTTCTTCAGCTCACCTCACTATTACTCAGACTCAAATGATGTAACAGTGCACAATGTCAACTGCAATTTCTGGGATATTTTGGCTTCATTTTTCCATGCTCTGGATCCTTGCAGAAAGTTAAAAGCGTCTCACTCTTTGCAAAGTAAGTCTTGTGGATCAATCCTGGAAGCACATGACCGTCCTCAATGTTAAAGTTGTCATGGGGTCCAAACACATTGGTGGGGATGACGGCTGTGTATCTCCGACCGTACTTCTCAAAACACGACCTAATGGACAAACACACAATGATTTGTTTCTTTCATTTATGAAAGCTATAAACAACCATTTCGTCCCCAAATCAAATGAGACATTTATTTTCATGACAATCGCACACATTCTCATCACTGTCATAAAAATAATAACTTTTTTTCAAAATGTGACAGACAGGCTTTCATGTGATAGACCCAAAACAGCTCATGAACTTTGACACTGACCTGTTGTGGACATCAATCATGCGTTTGGCGTAGGCATAACCGAAATTAGACTCATGTGGCGGACCGTTGTGGATCTGAAACAGAGCGAGAGAGAAACACGTCTGTATGGATAGACAATACCAAACAAAAAGTGTCCGAATTATCCTCTCCCTCAAATCCTAACACAATTGCAAACATGATATAAAACACCACTCCGCCTTTTTTCGTTTTCATTTCAAGCGATCTTAAGGTTCAGGCAACGCATATTGATTATATTCACTGCATGTATAGCCTATTTACTATAACAAAACGAAATATAAAACACAACCCTGCTTGTTTTCGTTTAAATTAAAAAAATATTAAACATGTTAGGCAATATGTGCATTTGTACTTCTTAATCTTCACTATAATACTCTTTTTGTTATATTTCAGTTTTATCAATAATAGCCATTATAAAAGTATAAGTAAAGGGTACAAGAAGCCGACGTTCACAGCGCCGCCGACTTCAGCTTCCAAAGCGGCCGGAAGTCATTCATTTTTAATGGAAGCTGGCTTATCTCGGCTGAAAGGAGCATCAAATCCATTGGCGTCGCGTTTTGGGCGTTTTGAGCATTTTGAGCGTCAATCAGAAAGTTGAAAGAAGCTCAACCTTACGGTAATGAGCTGTGACGCGGTTCAGCGGCAAAACGCCAGCAACCAATCAGAATATAGACGTCCTTCACGCCGGCTGATTCCGGAGAAACATACGATGTAAACTTTCATTCCTACCAAAACATTAGTTCTGCAACATGACATCATGACTTTTGCGTAAACATATACGCCACTTTCGAGTCAGGTGGCGTGTTATCTCTACGCATTTTGAGCTATCCGCGTGTGTCTACGCCATTAACGTCCGCATCATTCCGCCTGTCTGTACACGCAGTCATAAATGCCATTAACCCCAGTGACGGTTGGGTTTAGGGGCGGGGTTGAGGTAAGTCATATATTTATATAACGTTAAGTCAACGGCGTTCATAAACACGCTGAAAGGCGATTATGTGTCTTGATAGCACGCCAAAAATGGAAATACGAATTGGCGTGTCATACACACGCTACTTCATGAGATCAGTCTGAGTTCTGAGTAAATGGAAGAGAAGCTAATAATCGCCGCTGCTGTGTTTCCTACTGGTTGCGTATCATTTATGACATGACGTTGTTTGCTTATAGGGACCGCATGAGGGCAACTTTTATTTGAAATATTTACGAACGCTCGTTTTAAAGCGGGAATGCAATTAATTGGCTCACGGTGACACCGATTTGACAGCAAATAATAATAATAATAGCTAACTATTTTTTCGTGACCAAAACGGTTATAAAAATGCTGTCATTATAAACGTTTTTTTTTCTGTTTATTACATTTCATGTCGTGACACTTTCAAAGCGTCATTTGACAAGCGTTCTTGAAAGAGCGGCCAGAGCTTTGTCGGTGTGAACGTACAGTGACTCTTACATCCAACAACACACCTGGCTTTCTTAATAGGAAACAGACATTTTTCGTATCATTACAGCTGCTCCAGCAGGTAGAAAATGGCAGATTGTGTACAGCCCACTGTGGGCGGGACTATGCTAATAGGGCAGAGTCTGTCAGCAGTCATGGGCGGGGCTTAGACATTTTATGATGTCACAAAAGGTACAATCCGCAAATGGCTTGTTTTGAGACACTGCTTATAAATTATGGCGATTAAAGGAGATGGTGGACGGGTTTTGCCATTATAGGGTGGTTGTGTACACACTGCTGACACACATTTATGTTCAAAGTGAATTTTGCTTAAATGGTCCCATCGCAGTGACCGCTTTTGTAACATTTATTCAAAGAGAGTGTGTGTGTGTGTGTGTGAGAGAGAGATTACCATGGTCTCATCTATCGGGTAGGTGGTTTTATCAGGGAATACACACGTGGACAGGCAAGAAACGACCTTCACCACCCCGAACTCATGAGCCGTCTGCAGCACGTTGTCATTGACAAATACATTATTTCTCTGAAAACAACAAACAAATACAGTCAATGTACAGTCCACTCATTCAACAGTGATATTTCCAAGCTTTTATTGCATATTTCCAGTGTTATTTAATAATTATTATTACTAATTACCCAGAAGTCCAGGTTCTGTCTCATGTTTTTGTAGAGCCCGCCCACCATGGCGGCCAAATGAATGACGTGTGTCGGACGATGCTTCTGGAAGACTGATCTCGTCTCCTCGGCGCTCCTGAAACACCACATGTAAATACAGTTAGCATGCAATACAAATAGACAATGAGCAATTAAATTAATCTTTCTAAAATCCAGAGAAACAAACGAATTTATACATTAGCACAACAGTTTTAGTCCGAGGGCCACAGTTACTTTGGCAAAGTAAAGGGAGGGCCACACTTTGGACAATTGCAATTAAACATAATGGTACAAATGAATTAAAGTTATTGACGGCTACTAACTGGATTTACTTTCGTTTCCTACACTACACTACCCTGCATATTGTTCAACTGTCATTCATACCAGCTGTAGCTATTCAAGATGGAATACTATCAACAAAACTACAAATACATGTTTGTGCAAATATCTTAACATACAGATATACAGACTTCAGGCAATCTGGCTTGGAATTATCCAATTTAATTGAGGCTATATCCACCAGAGGGATAGCCTGACTTCGTCATACTGTCTGATACCGCTCCATAGGGCTTTGATTAAGAGGCGTGTCTTAACCGAACCAGGAAAAAAAAAACTCTGCACTCAATTGGATAGTCGGTAGACCTACAACCAATCAGAGCAATACTTTGCATACAGTTGTCACTACAGAACTTATTTTTAGAAGTAAAATAACAAATGTTGCTTATTTTACTTGGTCCTCCATGAGTGCGACCAAAGGAGAAACCACAACGACCTTACGTCTAGGGTTGGGTATCGAGAATCGAGTATCGATTGGAATCGGGACTAACTTTTCGTTTTTTCCCGGAATCGTTCAAAAGTTAAAATTTCGATTCCTAGTTTCGATATTCACAGTCCACCGAGCGGAAGAAGAAACCGCTGAACAACACCAACGAAGAAGCGTCTACCGGAAGTGTTGGCGTAACCGCGCGAGTCGAACATGAGTAGCTTACGTCAGCGGTCCAAAGTGTGGCTTCACTTTTCTAAAAATAAGAATCTCGGCAAAATGCAAAATTTGTGACAGAAGGAGTATTTGTGACAGGATTATTTCCTTCAGAAAGACAGTTGGTTAGCAAGGTTAGCTAAACTTTTTTGACCCTGCCTCTTAAAAGAATCGGAATCGAGAATCGTTAGGAACCGGAATCGAAACAAGGAATCGGAATCGGAATCAGAATCGTTCAAATTCAAACGATACCCAACCCTACGTCCCATCTTCTTAGCGATCGTCAGAGCCAGCCGATAAGTTACACTTTTGCCGATTCATGTAGGAAGGACGTTAGGGCTGGGCGATATGGCGATTATAATAATCGTTACGCGATAGAAAACGTTAGTCGTAACAGATTTTTTTTTTATTCCGTGTATACCCGAAATGCAAATAAGGGGGCGTGGTTAACTCCTGTGCAGCGCGCGTGAGACTGATGCTGAGATTTGTCAAAAAAAAAAAAACATGGAGAAAGCAGATCAAGGGGATCCACAAAGGAATTACGTTTTCTAAAGGATTGTTGTTAACGTGATATGTTCGGGGGAAATGCAGCCGTCAATTGAGCAGAGCAGCAGCACCCAGCTAGGCTACAGTTTAGACGAGTGCTCGTTCGCAACGGGGAATATCATTACGAGAAATAACCTTAAATAATGTATAGTTATCCGCATCTTTCCTTC